TCCAGCAGTCCAGCGCCGTCTAGGTCAAAATATTTTCAATGTATTATTACATTTGCTTTGCTAATAAGGTAGTTCTGAAAATATGTGCTGAGTTTTGATACTTAATTGAGATAGTTTGTATGTAATTCATTTTTGTGTACATGATGTCATGAGCAATGGGATTGACTTATGAATTGATAAATGTATAGCCTAATATTGATAGTAACATGGATTGGAGTTATGGTGTTTGATAAAAATCCTTTAATAAAATGCAAACTTGAACTAGTAATTTATTTCAATTACTTTGTTTTTCTTTAAAAAGCCAGTTTTTCTTAAATGTTTGTCTGTTTCTCTATCTTTCATTGAGAAGCCAGTTGTTTGTGGTATATCTTCACTTGGGTATGACCATATGGAAATTCTAGGTAAATGTCTTTTATCTGAGTTTTCTTTTTTCTTGCTCTTGGTACCCTCTTTATGCAAGTTGTGCCAGGACACACTAATCTGCCCAAGTAAATTTAGCCAAGAGCTGATAATTCCATTCCCCTATAGGAATCATTTTTTTAAATTGAAAGCACAATTGTCGAAGGAACTTGTTTATGGTTGCATTTTAGCACTTCTATATGGCTATTCTATTTGTGTTGTTAGAAATTATAGCTATAGTTAATCAAACCTATAGCTTATTTAGTAACTGGACTTTTGTAGTATTTACATAAAATCTAAAGGAAATGTGAAGCTTATGAAGCTCCTGCAAAGTTTGGTCCAGCAGTCCAGCGCCGTCTAGGTCAAAATATTTTCAATGTATTATTGAGATAGTTTGTATGTAATTCATTTTTGTGTACATGAGGTCATGAGCAATGGGATTGACTTATGAATTGATAAATGTATAGCCTAATATTGATAGTAACATGGATTGAGCAATGGGACTTTTGCAGACACCAAGATTGTAAATTATATTTATTTTTTGGTTCTCAATTGGTGATTATAGATTTCCAAGCATACAGTAAGTTTAGAATACTCTAGCATTTGAGTACTATGAGTTTTTGTAATACTGTAAAAGCTCATTTAAAACTCTGTGAGCTCATTGCGAAGTCTTAATTGTTGTAGCGCCCGAATTTTAGAACATTGGCTATCATATATAATTGTTTGAAGTGCTAACTTTAGTGACCTTAGTATTTTCATTTGTAGTATTATGGTGAAGTGACGGGCACTTTGTCACAGTGTGTCAAAATAAATTCAATACTAGCACTAATACGTAGTATAGTGAAGTAGAGTTCGTATCCACATGGAAAGTAATAACTCTCTTTTTATGAAACTAGTAAATAAAGGGGGGTTTTGATTGAGTGATTTAATTAATTTAAACACGAAGATGAACGACATATATGTGATTTAATTCAAAGATAAAAGGAAACTTGGCATTGCTACTTTCCACTTGTTGATATATGTCAGTCGATCATTGTTATATCTATAACTTATCCCCTCTCGAATACTCAATCGAGGAGTATATCCAATTCATCGAGGGTAGTTATTAACAACGAGCGTTCATTAATAACCCTTACTATTAGTCAAGTATAGGACACCGCCATATACCGACTTGATAGTAGCATTTGATCTCTTAACTCCTTGATGAAATCAATTGAGATTGATAACCTCAACACAACGGTTTCGGTTTAACCAACAAAATTAATCCCTCTTAAGTTTATTAACCACGATCGTGCATTAATAAACCGAAGTTACTTTCTTATGAAACCATCAACGATTAACCATCGGTTCGTTGATTGTTTCTAGTAATAATTAATATATGAAACAAAACTAGTTGATCCTTTAAGTAATGTTCAAAATATTAATATGAAATGTGAATAGGAATTAATTAATACTCAAGGAAGAATATTAAAGAAGATGAATCCCTCTATAGTTAATATCAAGATGTTAACTAATTGTCATCTTAGTAACACTCCCCAATATTAACATAGAGGAAGAAATAACTATCACTAAGACCAATGTCAAGATGTTAACTAATTGTCATCTTAGTAACACTCCCCAACATTGATATAGAAATAGTATTTAAAGGAAGAATTAATATTCAAGGAAAGAAGTTAAGAAAATAACTCACAACTTTAATAATCAACAAGCTTCAAGAGCAATACCAAGAAATGGAGGTTTAGCTCCTCATTTGGAGACTAAACATGCTAGAAAAATATAAAGAAATGCTATTCTAAACTGAGCTTAAGAGTATAAAGGAATTAGTGTCTAATTGTGAAGGGAAGGAGTTGTATTTATAGGCTGTTTGGAAGTGCAGCTCGGGTACCCGATCGAGTACATATAGGGTACCCGATCGGGCATGTGTAGAAATGTTAATTCGAGGCATACTCGATTGAATTCAGAGTGAAAATAAAAGGCATACCCGATCGGGTGTGTCGGTGTACCCGATCAGGTATGACAACTGATCGTGGCCAAATCTTTCCCTGCACACCCCTTTGTTTCCTGATTGATCTGATTGAAAGTCAAGTTGGTACCCGATCAAGTACATGGCATACTCGACCGGGTACAGGTCATAAATCAGGATTTAGCCTTCTTTTTGTCTTGTACCCTTGCACCTTGCTTCACCAATGATCATTTGATTGATCTTGGACCTGTTTAAGCTTGGAATAAACCTAATCTAAACATATTACAGCAATTTTACAAACATAACTATTACACCAAAAGTGTGTAATTTCCGAAATATTAAACAACCAAAACTAACTAAAAACGTAAACATACACATGGAAATTACACGCGTATCATGAAGATTTCATAAGCTTTTTACAAATGGCACCCGACAAGAAATGGATGATTTTGTTTAGTGATCGACTGAACAAAGAATATAAAGATGGTGTCAAGGCATTTTTGGACTATTCGATTATGAAAACAGGTGAAGAGAATTCCATACGTTGCCCATGTGTTAAGTGTAAAAACAGTGGTTATATGTCAAGAGAAGTGGTTGAAATGCATTTAAATGTGTATGGGATTCTTCCGAATTATACATTCTGGTAAAAACAGTGGTTATATGTCAAGAGAAGTGGTTGAAATGCATTTAAATGCCTTGACATTCTGGTATCACCATGGTGAAAGGAGGGGAGAGCCTCAATGTGGTAATTGCACCTTAAATGTGCAATTACCACAACAACACACCCTAAAAAGCAATTAAAAGTACAAATATAAACACTCAAAAATCAATGCAATCAAGGTTATTAAATGATTACATTTTAGGTAAAAAAATTTATAGCCTGCTTGCATATATACGAGGTAGGCCTGAGACTTAGAAGTTAGAACCGCAAAATTGGGAAAACCAAGCCGAACCGAAATTACCAATTCGGTTCGGTTCCTAAATGTTTTACGGGAAAAGAGTCAAATTGGACACTATAGTTACCTTTGAATCTTATGTTGGTTATTAAGGTTTCAAATGGATCAAATCTGACATTATAGTTACTTGTGAATCTCATATTAGTCACCAAAGTTTCATAATTCGTAGTTTTTTACACTCTGACTTACGATTTTCTTCTTCCGTTAATAAAAATCGTTAGTATTATTTTTCCTATATTTTTTAAATTTTTAGTGTCAATAAACTAACTTATGTATATAACTAATTTCATTTTCACGTTTAAATTCCATTTCATCTCATCGGTACTTAATTTAGAAAAAGACATTGGGAATTGATATGTTTTGAGGTAGTCCAATCTTTTTAAATATAGGCAAAAAAATTATTCTGTATTTCAGCGAGTGGAATGCCTTTGATTTTTTTGTGTTAATGAAAAGGGGAAAAACAGATTTTGTTACAGTTATCATTTCCAGAGACTCCACATTTTAATTTATTTCTGATAAAGACCATGTAACACCGGACCCAAATTTTACTGTGAGAAATTTTTTTCATCAAATACTGGGTTAAAGAAGGTAAATCAAGGCTAAGAGTAGTCTTGATAAATGAGAAAGTAAAAATTTTGTCTTAAATTAATAAAGGATTATTAATTTAGACGTGGGGACCACTCATGATATTTCGAGTTTATAAAATATTAATGTTTATCAAAATGATATTATTATGATAGTACCGATGGGTCATGGACCCCAGTGATATAAAGAACGACAACTAGATGGCCAAGCGGGCCGGGGTCACTATCCGATAATTGTGAATCATTAATTATCGGACTGATAATAATTCGGAAGGCTACGAATTAATAACAGAAGGAATATAAATATTTTAAGAACCCAAAACATGGGATGATGGATAATAATGAGCAACTTGACGTGTTAGAGGTGGGTACTTTTGGAGGACCCTACCTTGGAGATATTTTGTATAAGAATAAACAGATAAGATTTTATCTGTTCATACAGTTCGAACCACTTAAAAATAAGTGTAACATTTTATTAAAGTGTCACCAAATATGAAACCACATATTAAGTAATGAGAAATGACGAGTGAATTTTCGAGGCAACGCGTTCTCATTTTTACTGTTACTTCAACAGTAAAATACACGTTGGGCCCACACGTGGGCGGCGACCATCCGATATTTATGGACCACATATTATATTCATCTTGGTTTAGATAATATTTATATGATGGTGTAAATTAATGTTGAGCCATAAAGTTGGCCTTTCGATCAAACAAGGTCCCATTATCGGTATAGTTAATTAATCAGATAACAGCCCGAAATAAATTCCGGGGACCACTAAATTGAAGTTGGGTAATATATATTCATTTTAGAGTCCAATATTAATTGGAAGAATGATATATATTTTACTTGACCCGATAAAATGAAATTTAATTAAAACAGTCCAAAAATACAACTTTCGGTATCGATTGTACACTTTTGGACATAAAGGGATGGCCTCCCACATGAGTGGGGGCCACCCCACGACTTATGGTCTCAAATGAGTGAGGAGAGCCATGTTGAAGTGCTGGAGAGTGATGGGGGGATGCATGAGAATTAATTAGAAAGGAAAGGGGACCCTCTCCACCTCATTTGGTGTTAAAGGCCAAAACCTATCTCCTCACACCCCACACCCCCATTATTTCGGCCAAACCTACCCAAGAGAGAGGGAAGAGATCTGCAAATGCTTACCTCCATAGCTACAACCAAGCTCAAGGTTGAAGAAGGTCCAAGGAAGAAGAAAGAGTGAGAAAAGAAGAGAAAAACCTTGATTTATTAAGGTAATGATCTCATTAACATTTTTAATCCTCCATTTAATCTCATATGATTTTATAAATCATATGATGGACCCTTAAACTTGTTCTACACTTATAGAGGTGTAGAATGAGGGTTTGGAGGGTTAAGTTTAACCATGAACGGAGTTATGACCGGAGTAAGACCGGTTTGCCGGAAAACACCTTCTCGGAAGGTTTTGATGTTTATACCACTTTTGGTTGTGAAACCTTGTTAGGAATTTTACCAAGGCATTCTAGACTTCTCAAGGAATCTAGGAGTGGTCGGAAAGTCGCCGGAGCCGCCGGAGTATTCGCCGGAAAATTCAAAGGTTGCCGGAGTTCAAACAAAGAGGATAAAAGCTTGCTAGCGTCATTTCAAGGTGAGTGGACGACTACGTGTCTTGTAACTCTTGGTTCAAACGTGGGATTACCTAAATAAAATCATAACCATGATTTGAGAAATGATGAAATGGATTAAAATGCATGATTAGTCATGGTGTATATGACTAATGAAAAAAAATAGATTAATTTATTAATTAATCATTAGTACGTAGTATATATTTCTTAATGCATAAGAGGATATACTTGAACCATGTATGAGATAAGCTCGAATAATCTAGTAAGTGAATATAAAAGGGTTGTAAAGTTGTGATTATCCATATTAAATATGGATTATGGAAGTATTATATGATAAATAAAAAAATAGATTAATTTATTAATTAATCATGAGTATATTTTTCTTAAATGAATAAGAAGGTATACTTGAACCATGTATGTGATTAACTAGAGTTATCTAGTAAAGAAATATAAAAAGATATGTGATATGTGATTAGTCATATTAATTATGGATTATGGAAATATGGCATAATTAATGATTAATCAATTAATGGTATGAATAAAAGGTTGTAAGAAAGGATCATGAGCCATGATTTGGGCTTGGGCATGAGATTACTCAAATAAAACAGAATGATATTCCATGAATTGTTAAATACATCTAAGAATGTATTAAGGAAAGATTTACTTATTAATAGTATTAATAAGTGTATTTAATATGCTTTAATTTGGACAGAAAATGATTATAAATTATGTGTGATGATTTGGACGTCCAAAATAATTTTTTTGGACTAAGAATGACTTGTTGCATAAGCGTATAAAATTTCGTGGAAATCGGACCCCGTTTGGATGGTCAAACGGGCGTTGACCAAAATGTTGACCGGTTGCCCAGGGGGTAACCGGCGCCGGTTATAGGCAAAACCGGCGCCGGTTATGGTTCGGTTTACTCAAGAAAACCAGTAAACCGGCACCGGTTATGGGTAAAACCGGCGCCGGTTATGTCTCTGCTTTCAGGACTGATTTTTGCTAAAAACCCAAATCGGACCCGGTTTGACGTGGGATAAATTCTAGCCATCCTATATATGAATATTTTGCATGGAATTGCATGAAATATGATGTTTAAAATGATAAGCTTTGGAATACGGTTTAAACGCTAAGACTTGGACTAGTCGTTAGTAAAGAAATTATAGACCACGACTGGGCGAGGTACGTGGTAGATTATACATGGCGGGTGAATACCCGGGACCAAGTAAGGTTAAGTAATACTCTGTAGGACCAGGAGGAGTCCTCTACACTCAAACGTTAACAAGGGCCCGTGTAGTCCTTGAGGTGTGTTAACCTCCAGTAAATTACACATAGGTAACAAGGGCAAGTGCAGTCCTTGAGGTGAGTTAACCTCCATCAAAGTGCATATAGGTAACAAGGGCAAATGCAGTCCTTGAGGTGTGTTTAACCTCCATCAAATTGCATATAGGTAACAAGGGCAAATGCAGTCCTTGAGGTGTGTTTAACCTCCATCAAATTGCATATAGGTAACAAGGGCAAATGCAGTCCTTGAGGTGTGTTTAACCTCCATCAAATTGCATATAGGTAACAAGGGCAAATGCAGTCCTTGAGGTGTGTTAACCTCCATCAAAGTGCATATAGGTAACAAGGGCAAGTGTAGTCCTTGAGGTGTGTTTAACCTCCATCAAATTACACATAGGTAACAAGGGCCCGTGTAGTCCTTGAGGTGTGTTAACCTCCAGTAAATTACACATAGGATGAGGGTGTATGCGTACTCCTCAAGGCGCGGTTATCCCGGAAATGAAAACTATGATAGCAAGGACGGATAGTCCTCGCGGTAGGTGAACATCAAGGTAATGATGTTAAATGATTAAACGTGTTTGATCGGGAACGAGTTTTCTGATAGGATATTTTCCTTGGTCTAGGAATTGATTTTAACCATGTCCGTGATATGGGAGTCCGAGGGGCCCCATAGTAATTATATTTCGATATCGGGTGAGTTGGCCTGCGGGTGACTCCACTCGAGGGTAAGACATGGGAAGGGTGAATTTAATGAGGCTGTTACGCCTAAGTGATTTGAAAGACAAATGGGCCCACGGGCCGGATATTTTACTTATATGTATATATGTATACATTTTGTTTTGAAAAGGGGTAGCTAAGAGTTATGCCCATAATTATACTATCACCCTATTTTGAGGGTCTCACGTGAGAAACGTTAGTTACATTACATACAGTTTGCCCTCACCAGTACTTTTCTGTAGTACTGATCCCTCGGGGGAACCACCCTTTCAGGTTGAAGCTAGAGCTTACTTCCTGCACCCATTGCTCGGGAGATCGATGGAGAGAAGACGTGGTTCGTGCTTCCTCTCGTTCTATTTTTAAATAATTAAATAATGCTCATGGAACTATTTTGACTTATAAATTAATGGAGCCTGCGAGCTCTTGTTTTACCCTTGTGTGGGTTCTTATTAAACACTTATATTCCGCGATGTGTTGAATTGTATGTTGATGTTGTTATGTATGTTTACTAATCGGTTTTGGCATATGTATCTATCGGACGTCTTGTGCAATTCGGTAAGGATGAACTGCGGTTATTCTTATTGGGTTGTACGACGGTTGTCCACGTGGCACAGACGCGGTCTGGGGCGTGACAATTAAGTGGTATCAGAGCCATACGATTTCTAAACTATATAGTCAACATCTCAACAAAGTTTCTATTAAAACAGTTTTTCAATGAAAACCATGAGCATAAGTTTTGTACTTTAAGAGCATTTGGTTATCGAGTTACAACGTCTCTGGTTGTTAAGACGGGCCCCTTAACAATTGGTATGGCAGTGACTTGAGCCAAGTTGTGTCTTGAGTACGTTTCTGTCAATTGACATTCAAACGAGTCCAAAGACTCATTCCAACATATTCTTTCAGGAATGGGTGGTAGCGATAGGGCGGTTCGAGGAAATCCGAGAGGGCGCGCACCGGGGATAGCCGGGCAAGCCAATCGGGGGATATCAAGGTCACGTAAAAGGCGAGGTATGGGCAATCAAGGCCCACAAAAACGAGCTGCGATGGCTGATCACAATGTGACTGAATTCGAGTCATGGAACTCGGAGGATGACTCAACTTATCACCCTGAAAGCGAGTCAGATGAAACTTCCTTTGAGGAAAACAGTGGAGAGGATATACGTAGTATTCCTCCGGACCATGTTAGTGAGATGTACCGATGGTACCAACGTGAAATGGGAAGACAACGACAGGGATCTCAGGAGGGACATGTCAGAGGCGAGACCTCTCTCATGAGGGTTCGGGGTGCTCTTACAGCACAGGTTAGGACAGTCAGAGATTCTGATGGCGAAGGACCATTCTTTAGGATCTCAAAGTATCTCAAAGAGGCTAGAGCCTTGGGGTGCAAACCATTTGATGGGACGGGGGACATATCAGAAGCAGCCGAGTGGATAAAAAGGTTAAATGATGCAGCTGAGGACATGCAGGTGGTCCCTGAACGAAAGTTAAGGGTAGCCACTAGATTATTGGAGGGTTTAGCTTCTACTTGGTGGGAAGGCACCAAGGGTAAGTTTGACGGGGTGGTCACATGGGACAACTTCGAGCAAGCATTCTATGAGCAGTTTTACACCTCTTTCGAAGTAAATCGAAAGAGGAGGGAATATATCGATCTCAAACAGGGAAATGAGTTTACGGTGAAGCAACTGGAACAAAGATTCCGACATCTGGCAAGGTTCTTGCCTGAGTATGCCGCAAATGAGAACCGAATGACAAACCATTTTTGGAATGCACTCAATTTGGAAATACGCGAAAGAGCGACCTACCAATTCAACATGACTTTTAGTCAAGTAGTAACCCAAGGTCTCCAGGGGGAGGAGCTTTGGAAGGAAAGGCAAGCAAGGGATGCAAAGGAAGCACAAGAAAGAGATCAAGTGATGATTCACCCTCCACGACGAGAGGGGAATTATGAACTTCAGAGCAAGGAGGACTCTAACAAGTTAGTTCCGTTTTTCAGTGAGAGTCAGAACTTGGTAAGTCAAAGCTCAAGCACTCGGGGCACGGGGGCACCCAAATGTGAGAATTGTAGGCGAAGGCACTACGGGAGATGTCGAGAGCCATCTAGATGTTACTTTTGTGGAGAAACAGGCCACATCAAGGTCCTTTGTCCTCAACGTACGCGTGAAGGAACATCAGGAGCTAGAGGAGGGGTCACGGGGGTTGAAAACCCAACTAGGGTTGCCTCAAACATGGTACCTTCTACAAGTCAATGGCGAACTCGCTCGTGAAGGCCGGAAATGGCGGAAGCCATTTGTTAGGCCCGACTATGGCATAAGGTATTATTAAATTAAACCTTAATTTCCATAAATATTTTTATGTTCAAAATTTTTTGCTTCAGAAAATGAAGGGAGAAATGTTTCTCAAGGTTCAGACGTTAATTTCGGGGACGAAATTCCTGTAAGGTGGGGTGAACTTGTAACACCGGACCCAAATTTTACTGTGAGAAATTTTTTTCATCAAATACTGGGTTAAAGAAGGTAAATCAAGGCTAAGAGTAGTCTTGATAAATGAGAAAGTAAAAATTTTGTCTTAAATTAATAAAGGATTATTAATTTAGACGTGGGGACCACTCATGATATTTCGAGTTTATAAAATATTAATGTTTATCAAAATGATATTATTATGATAGTACCGATGGGTCATGGACCCCAGTGATATAAAGAACGACAACTAGATGGCCAAGCGGGCCGGGGTCACTATCCGATAATTGTGAATCATTAATTATCGGACTGATAATAATTCGGAAGGCTACGAATTAATAACAGAAGGAATATAAATATTTTAAGAACCCAAAACATGGGATGATGGATAATAATGAGCAACTTGACGTGTTAGAGGTGGGTACTTTTGGAGGACCCTACCTTGGAGATATTTTGTATAAGAATAAACAGATAAGATTTTATCTGTTCATACAGTTCGAACCACTTAAAAATAAGTGTAACATTTTATTAAAGTGTCACCAAATATGAAACCACATATTAAGTAATGAGAAATGACGAGTGAATTTTCGAGGCAACGCGTTCTCATTTTTACTGTTACTTCAACAGTAAAATACACGTTGGGCCCACACGTGGGCGGCGACCATCCGATATTTATGGACCACATATTATATTCATCTTGGTTTAGATAATATTTATATGATGGTGTAAATTAATGTTGAGCCATAAAGTTGGCCTTTCGATCAAACAAGGTCCCATTATCGGTATAGTTAATTAATCAGATAACAGCCCGAAATAAATTCCGGGGACCACTAAATTGAAGTTGGGTAATATATATTCATTTTAGAGTCCAATATTAATTGGAAGAATGATATATATTTTACTTGACCCGATAAAATGAAATTTAATTAAAACAGTCCAAAAATACAACTTTCGGTATCGATTGTACACTTTTGGACATAAAGGGATGGCCTCCCACATGAGTGGGGGCCACCCCACGACTTATGGTCTCAAATGAGTGAGGAGAGCCATGTTGAAGTGCTGGAGAGTGATGGGGGGATGCATGAGAATTAATTAGAAAGGAAAGGGGACCCTCTCCACCTCATTTGGTGTTAAAGGCCAAAACCTATCTCCTCACACCCCACACCCCCATTATTTCGGCCAAACCTACCCAAGAGAGAGGGAAGAGATCTGCAAATGCTTACCTCCATAGCTACAACCGAGCTCAAGGTTGAAGAAGGTCCAAGGAAGAAGAAAGAGTGAGAAAAGAAGAGAAAAACCTTGATTTATTAAGGTAATGATCTCATTAACATTTTTAATCCTCCATTTAATCTCATATGATTTTATAAATCATATGATGGACCCTTAAACTTGTTCTACACTTATAGAGGTGTAGAATGAGGGTTTGGAGGGTTAAGTTTAACCATGAACGGAGTTATGACCGGAGTAAGACCGGTTTGCCGGAAAACACCTTCTCGGAAGGTTTTGATGTTTATACCACTTTTGGTTGTGAAACCTTGTTAGGAATTTTACCAAGGCATTCTAGACTTCTCAAGGAATCTAGGAGTGGTCGGAAAGTCGCCGGAGCCGCCGGAGTATTCGCCGGAAAATTCAAAGGTTGCCGGAGTTCAAACAAAGAGGATAAAAGCTTGCTAGCGTCATTTCAAGGTGAGTGGACGACTACGTGTCTTGTAACTCTTGGTTCAAACGTGGGATTACCTAAATAAAATCATAACCATGATTTGAGAAATGATGAAATGGATTAAAATGCATGATTAGTCATGGTGTATATGACTAATGAAAAAAAATAGATTAATTTATTAATTAATCATTAGTACGTAGTATATATTTCTTAATGCATAAGAGGATATACTTGAACCATGTATGAGATAAGCTCGAATAATCTAGTAAGTGAATATAAAAGGGTTGTAAAGTTGTGATTATCCATATTAAATATGGATTATGGAAGTATTATATGATAAATAAAAAAATAGATTAATTTATTAATTAATCATGAGTATATTTTTCTTAAATGAATAAGAAGGTATACTTGAACCGTGTATGTGATTAACTAGAGTTATCTAGTAAAGAAATATAAAAAGATATGTGATATGTGATTAGTCATATTAATTATGGATTATGGAAATATGGCATAATTAATGATTAATCAATTAATGGTATGAATAAAAGGTTGTAAGAAAGGATCATGAGCCATGATTTGGGCTTGGGCATGAGATTACTCAAATAAAACAGAATGATATTCCATGAATTGTTAAATACATCTAAGAATGTATTAAGGAAAGATTTACTTATTAATAGTATTAATAAGTGTATTTAATATGCTTTAATTTGGACAGAAAATGATTATAAATTATGTGTGATGATTTGGACGTCCAAAATAATTTTTTTGGACTAAGAATGACTTGTTGCATAAGCGTATAAAATTTCGTGGAAATCGGACCCCGTTTGGATGGTCAAACGGGCGTTGACCAAAATGTTGACCGGTTGCCCAGGGGGTAACCGGCGCCGGTTATAGGCAAAACCGGCGCCGGTTATGGTTCGGTTTACTCAAGAAAATCAGTAAACCGGCACCGGTTATGGGTAAAACCGGCGCCGGTTATGTCTCTGCTTTCAAGACTGATTTTTGCTAAAAACCCAAATCGGACCCGGTTTGACGTGGGATAAATTCTAGCCATCCTATATATGAATATTTTGCATGGAATTGCATGAAATATGATGTTTAAAATGATAAGCTTTGGAATACGGTTTAAACGCTAAGACTTGGACTAGTCGTTAGTAAAGAAATTATAGACCACGACTGGGCGAGGTACGTGGTAGATTATACATGGCGGGTGAATACCCGGGACCAAGTAAGGTTAAGTAATACTCTGTAGGACCAGGAGGAGTCCTCTACACTCAAACGTTAACAAGGGCCCGTGTAGTCCTTGAGGTGTGTTAACCTCCAGTAAATTACACATAGGTAACAAGGGCAAGTGCAGTCCTTGAGGTGAGTTAACCTCCATCAAAGTGCATATAGGTAACAAGGGCAAATGCAGTCCTTGAGGTGTGTTTAACCTCCATCAAATTGCATATAGGTAACAAGGGCAAATGCAGTCCTTGAGGTGTGTTTAACCTCCATCAAATTGCATATAGGTAACAAGGGCAAATGCAGTCCTTGAGGTGTGTTTAACCTCCATCAAATTGCATATAGGTAACAAGGGCAAATGCAGTCCTTGAGGTGTGTTAACCTCCATCAAAGTGCATATAGGTAACAAGGGCAAGTGTAGTCCTTGAGGTGTGTTTAACCTCCATCAAATTACACATAGGTAACAAGGGCCCGTGTAGTCCTTGAGGTGTGTTAACCTCCAGTAAATTACACATAGGATGAGGGTGTATGCGTACTCCTCAAGGCGCGGTTATCCCGGAAATGAAAACTATGATAGCAAGGACGGATAGTCCTCGCGGTAGGTGAACATCAAGGTAATGATGTTAAATGATTAAACGTGTTTGATCGGGAACGAGTTTTCTGATAGGATATTTTCCTTGGTCTAGGAATTGATTTTAACCATGTCCGTGATATGGGAGTCCGAGGGGCCCCATAGTAATTATATTTCGATATCGGGTGAGTTGGCCTGCGGGTGACTCCACTCGAGGGTAAGACATGGGAAGGGTGAATTTAATGAGGCTGTTACGCCTAAGTGATTTGAAAGACAAATGGGCCCACGGGCCGGATATTTTACTTATATGTATATATGTATACATTTTGTTTTGAAAAGGGGTAGCTAAGAGTTATGCCCATAATTATACTATCACCCTATTTTGAGGGTCTCACGTGAGAAACGTTAGTTACATTACATACAGTTTGCCCTCACCAGTACTTTTCTGTAGTACTGATCCCTCGGGGGAACCACCCTTTCAGGTTGAAGCTAGAGCTTACTTCCTGCACCCATTGCTCGGGAGATCGATGGAGAGAAGACGTGGTTCGTGCTTCCTCTCGTTCTATTTTTAAATAATTAAATAATGCTCATGGAACTATTTTGACTTATAAATTAATGGAGCCTGCGAGCTCTTGTTTTACCCTTGTGTGGGTTCTTATTAAACACTTATATTCCGCGATGTGTTGAATTGTATGTTGATGTTGTTATGTATGTTTACTAATCGGTTTTGGCATATGTATCTATCGGACGTCTTGTGCAATTCGGTAAGGATGAACTGCGGTTATTCTTATTGGGTTGTACGACGGTTGTCCACGTGGCACAGACGCGGTCTGGGGCGTGACAGACCAAATTAAAGATCTGATCAGTAGCGCAGTATATAGTTATAATTTTTTAGGATCTTTCAAAGATAATATAAAAAAAGAACACATTAGTATTCAAAAATGAATTTCCAGACTTTTGTATATGTGTTCATTCGATTTCCCCTTATTTTTTGGAATATTTTGGAAATGATATTGATTTTTATGAATTATTAGTAAAGTCCAAATGGAAAAAAAGCATTTTTTAATCTTAGAAATTCATAAACCTTCACTATATAACATTATAACTCATATCATGACGTAAATTAAAAATCAAGGACTAAGAAGCTGTTCTCTTCACCTGATCTGAATGTTTCTGATCTGAATTTTTTAAGTTCTGATCTGATCTGATCTGAATTTTTCTGATCTGATCTATCTGAATCTTTCTGATCTGATCTGATCTAAATCGTTCTAATCTGATCTGAATCTTTCTGATCTGATCTGAATCTTTCTGATCTGATCTTAATGTTTCTGATCTGATCTGAATTCTTCTGATCTGATCTCATTTGATCTGAATCTCTCTGATCTGATTTGAATATTTTTATAATTGTAATTATAATTATAATTATAATAATTATAATTGTAATTACAAATATAACTTAAATAAAATTATAATTATAATCATAATTATAAAAAATATAATAATAATTAAAATTAAATTTAAACTTATAATAATTATACCAATTATACTAACTATAAATATAGATACAATTATAAATGTAATTATATTTTTAATTATAATTACTTATATAATTATTATTATTGTAATTATAATACAGAGTATTTATTTATATAATTATAATTATATCTATAATTATGATTATTATTATAATTATAATTATGATTATAATTATAATTAAAACTATAATCATAATTATAATTATAATTATAATTATTTTATAACAACAATAGTATTATAATAATAAATTATATTATTATTATTATTATTATAACAATAATAATATAATAATATAATAATAACATTATTATTATTCTTATATCATAATTTTAATATTATTACCATTTTTATATTATAATTATATTATTATTATTATATAATATTTAAATTATTAACATTATATTATTATTAATATAATATTATTATATTAATATAATAATATTATTAACAATAATTATAATATAATTATAATAGTAATAATTATAATTAATATAATAATAATAATAAAAGTGATAAATCATGTTTGAATTTTTTCTGATCTGATTTGGATCTTTCTGATCTGATCTGAATCTTTCTGATCTGATCTGATCTGAATGCTTCTGATCTGATCTGATCTGATATGAATCTTTCTGATTTGATCTGATCTGATCTGATCTAATCTGAATAAAATAAGAATAAAGAATATGTAATAAGATTAAGATGAACAGAACAACTTGTAAGATAGGTTGGCTTTTACCTGGTGCACAGAGCAGTGTACCCATACCGCACAGAGCAGTATAATCCATAACTGTACCACTTGTGAACGTGTATCATACGGAGTATTATTGATTTGTTTGAATGTTTTCTGTGGATCGGAGGAATTCAGCTCAATTGGGTCTCTTGTACATGACTACCCAAAATCAATTTAAGGGTCCAAATAAAGCCTTTAAATTTGATTGAGTTGTTCAGTTTACCCCTCAACCGTTAAAAAATGTTAAAATTACTATTAATAAAATTACAAAATAGAAAATAAAAATATAAATTAATATAGAAGTTCATAATATAAAATATAGACATCTATTTCTAAAATAACACGAAGCTGTTTATATTTTGAGGTAAACTAAATATAAAAAATATAACAAAATAAATTATTTTTAAATACATAATATAAAAATCTAATAGCTATTTTCGTATCATACTTTTTATATAGTACTACCTCCGTCCCAAAAAATTCTTCTCACTTACCTTTTTGGGATGTCCCAAAAAGTTCTTCTCGTTTCCCTTTTTGGAAAGGTTTGTGTGGCTACTATTCATTTACTTTTTTCTTACCCAACCACAACCATACATTTCCACTTTATTCTCACTTTTTTAAACTTCGGTCCAAGTCAAACTGGAAAGAGTTTTCTGGGACGGAGAAAGTATAATTTTTTATGGTGTATATAATTAGTGTTGAGATATATTATCTCGGTCCGTTACTGTTCAGGAGCCCAAGACTGTACGTAGTACGAAGCCTGATCAACGAGGCCTACCTTCAGCCTATCAGGCCTATTTCGGTCCTTGGGCCCATTTCGGCCCATTAGGTTAGGTTTTCCCCCTTTCCCTTACCCCTATAAATATGGGGCTTTCCCACATGTTTAGGGATCCCTTTTTCCTTGGCTTATTCTTCTTCCTTCTCTCTAGCTAGCTTACAATACTCCATGAATGGGAGCTCAATACCTTGTACACTGTAATGGGAGGAGAGTCTTAATGAGAAAGAGAGGGCTTGGACATTAGCTTAAAAAGTCCCGTGGTTTTCTCCCTTTCGAGTTTCCACGTAAAAACTGAGCTTGTTCATACACATTTATACATATATTTACTATATCGTGTTGGATTAAACTCAACAATTAGTATGAAGTATAGTATACAATTCTAGAATAAAATAATACGAAGTATATATACATATATGCATGCATGTGTGTGTGTATTTTTACATTTTAATCTAAAACATATTAAAAATATTAAAAAATATGAAATGAAAAATACAACTCTAAAACATAAACATGATATAAATTGTAAAATGGAAAACACAAATTATGTTTTATATTACCAATTATTACATACGGAGTATAATACACAAAATACATATTTAATTTAAATTTGTGAAACATGTATTGTTTATTTTTTTGAAACAAAATAGATTTGAAATATCAAAATAGTTTGAATGAATTTATTTTGGTTTATTTAATTCTTTTACCGCGAATATAAATATATCCTTATTATATTTGATAGAGTATATGGGCCTGGACCCCATGGCCCACATACTCAACGGCCCAAAAGACACCAGCGGAACACCCGCATCGCCCAGAGGCGCGTAGCGTCCAAGAGAGAAGATATCGCCCGATTTTTATGGACCGCATCGTCCATGGACCGCGTCGTCCATGGACCGCGTCGTCCATGGACCGCGTCGTCCATGGACCGCATCGTCCATGGACCGCATCGTCCGGACTTCGTCCGGGCAGAATGTATTTTCCTATTTTTTGTACTAAGTGTTGTACTCAGCCCATTAGTGGCCTTTATTCGCCCAAAGAAGGCATGATCATTGTAATGGGCCTCCTAAGCCCAAGGCTAGGGGCCCAAATCTACATCTTTTCCTATAAATAGACCCCAAGGGGCTAATTATAGGGAATTCTTTTCCAGATTGAGAAATATAATTACTCGCTTTCTCTCTCTAGCTCTCTCTTCTCTCTAGAATTAATACTCTATCATTTGGTGCTTTCATTGAGAGACTAGAACAGATCAAGTGAGTACCCCTCGTCGCTACTAGACGCAACAGAATGACAAGAACTAGGTCAAAGAACACCGGAAGGAATGCCCCTCTGAACCAGGAAGGGCAGGGGAACGTTGCTGACAACGTCCCCAATGACCTCATCATTCAGGATGAGAACGCTCAGGAGGTCGAGCTCGCAGCGGCCGACCTTCGCACCCAGCTCAACAAGACTGCCCCAGACGCCCGCATCGGGCTCGAGGACAAGCGCAATGCTGATCGCGCTTCGGGCCAGCAGACTTCTCACCCTGCTGCCCCCCAGATCAACCCGGCCGCACTATCGGCCATCGTCGCAAGCATTCTCCAGGACCCCAACGTCGTCAGCGCCCTCGTCGCAAAGACAGGGGAAAACAACACTCCCGTGACTGGAGAAGTCGCGACGGTGCCACCACCACCGCCTCGGCCACAAGGCGTCACCTTCTTCGGCAACGACGAAGGCATCCTCGCCGCGGACACCCATTCCCATACTGCCTCTCCTACCCGGGATACACCGGCCCAACCTCGCGGTAAAATCTCGGCCTTCAATAGGTTGGGTGACATCGCGAGTCGTCGGGTACCTACGGGAAGGGTTGCGGATCGGTTGGGTGGTCGCGAGCCGGGATCACCAAAGGAAAGCTTCGGGTCCGTTTCCCGGACAACGGATCGGCCCCGACCAGACAAAGGCAAAGGAAAGCTGAATGATGATGATGCGCGTCACCAGATCAACCTGGCCCACGCGGCCCGGATCCAGCCCCCTCTTGGTGGCGCTGCGGCCAACACGGACCCAAGGGACGAGATCATCGCCCGCTTGGAGAAGCGCCTCGCTGACATGGAGGCCCGAGAGGCCGCAGGGCACGTATCGGCCCAGACATCCCAGCATCCCAACTACGACGCGCTCCTGAGCAAGGTCAGTGCTCTGGAAAGGGAGTTGGCTGACCGGCGCGAGGAGCCCATCATCCAGATACGGACCCGGACCCCCTTCTCCGCAAGGGTGCTCTCCGCTCCCATCCCAGAAAAGTACAAGGGAAATCCGATCAAGCCATATGACGGCCGCACCGACCCTCAGGAGCACTTTACCCGCTATCAGAACAATATGATGATGACCAACGCTTCGGAGGAGTACATGTGTCGCTGGTTCCTCTCCACCTTGGAGGGACCAGCGTACGATTGGTTCAACAACCTTCCGGAGGGGAGCATCGACTCATGGCAGGACCTTGCTCAACGCTTCCTCACCCACTTTGCCTGAAGGAAGCGTGCGAAGAAGCATTTCGCCCATCTCCTGACCATCAAACAACAACCGGAGGAGACGCTCCGGGCCTTCCTCGATCGCTGGACAAGGGAGGCGGACGAATGTGAAGGGGCCGATGAACGCACTCTCTTGGCTTTCCTCCGCGGAGCACTACGGCCGAGCCACTTCGCCCGAAGCCTATTCACAG